AAAATGAAAGTTTCAATTGTCCTTTGTCTTCTGCAGTTGTCTGCTGGACATGTGTTGAACTGTAAACTTCAGCTGTGTTTGGCACAGACTTCAGCAAAACCCCAGTATTTCCTTACTCACTGCACAGCCAGTCCTTCTCTCACTTAGGAAATGCTAGGAAAGCAATTCTTTCAAACAAGAACTTTGAGCACATTTTACCGCAGTTTGTTCAATGCCTAGATTTTGACTGTCAGCTTTTATAAATATTTAGCCCAAAGGACTTCTCAAACTAAGGGGTCTACTAGTCTTGAGTGATCAAGTTTATTCTGAAATAACTAAGAAAAATTCTAGTTAAGTTTACAGCTGAACTTAATTTGGTTCTGGGTGTACAATGCTCAAAGAACCCACAGAAAACACCTTACAGTGCCTGAATCGAGAGTCACTGGGCTGGCAGGTAACAAAATCAGGATTAGAGTCCTTCTAAGATATTGAGTACAGATAGATCCAGCTAACCTTATTTTTGAACTGCAATAATTTTTAAAGGTGTCTTGCTTGTACATGTTTTTACGTACATGACGGGCACTCAGTTTTCCACATAAAATATGAAAATGCACCTACCCTCTGCCTAAATTTGAATGACTTCAGCCATCTCATTGCAAAGATGTACCACACATTTCTGGCCATTCCAAAGGAAAAAACAGCACATGCTGATCAGAATCCTTAAATAGGAAAACTGCTTTCACCGTGGCCTGGTTCAGTTACTCTAAAAGAATTTCCCTTTCTTTTGGTCTGCGAATTTCCACCAATCAGCAGATCAGGAACACAAATGTGGCAGCAGCTGGTAAGGCTGTAAGGATGAGTCATCAAAAAAAAAAAAGAAATCAATTTAACTGGAGGAAAAAAAAATAGAGGAATCTGGATTTAGGAAATCAAATGACCAAGGGATCAGCTGGCTTTATTCACTGAAATTTGCTCCAGCCAGCACTTTCTCCCAGTAGATCTGTCCATAATGACTGTAGATGAAAGCAGAAGTGCCCACATGGAACATTCAGCTAATATCAGCAAAAGCTTGGTGGAGTCAGCCCTCTGCACCCACAGCTATGCTGGTGTATTTTCTGTCACAGATGCCACTTTAAGATTTTTATGGGTACTAATAACATAAATATTAGCACGGTCTAGATGAAGGTGGGCTTTCCAGTACAATACTAGAAGTGTCAGGCTCCTGCTAGCTAGCACATCCATTGACTGTTACTATGTCTGCAGGAGAAATACTGTGAATAACAGTGAGAACTCAACACAGGCACGATTTCATCACTCTAACCATTAACCACAGACACCTGAGGTTTCCTAAGATGGCCAAGTACTCTTCTTACTGGCAAACGTATTTGAAAGATCAGCTGCAGTCACGTGGCTTCTACCCAGCTCTCATATGGCTTCTCTTAGGACAGAAACAGTCAGATTTCTTTCCAAAAAACCTCCTGAAGACCTAAATCCTTACAGCCATACATAGGCAAAGGAGCAGTTCTAGCTGCAATACTGAGGCTATAAGCAATAACACACTAGCAACTCATTCTAAGAAAGGGCAATTTTCTACAGTATGTTATAGATAATCAGAATTGAAATATTTCTTCACTGAAACTACTGATACACGTGGCAAATCAAGGTACTGCTTTCAAGTAGCAATTCCATTTCAACAGATGCAGAGGTTCTGTAGTGTCTTACATCTGTCACAGGATCACAGCAGAAGGGTGCAGGCAATGCAGCTCCACGCTAATTCTAATTTTGATGTTAACTATGCACTGGAATGCAATGAATATTTCTGAAATGCAGCATTACCTTTCTCTAAAAACTAGTTTAATGTAATATTCTATTGCCAATTCCTTTCAACCTGTGTTTACAGAAATTAGCCACTTTTGACAGATATGACAGATTAGGCAGATTTTGACAGATATGTACTTTGCTCCTATTTTTCATAAACTCTGTTTTTTCATTCACAAACAGGGTGCTCAGTGATTTGATTTTTCTTGTGCCCCACAGCACTATGCTATAAATCTTGAATCACCAGCTGGAGACTAAAAGCTCTTCTGTGTGGTCTGACATTACAGATTGATGATGCCTGACCAAAAAGACAGACGGGGGATCCTCCTGGTAATAGGAAAACACTATACCTTTCAACAGCAGTAAGGGGTGGAAACAAAAGGCTTAATAAACCAAACCGAGGAGACATTTTTAACTACCTAAGCCATTTTAAAGACTAGCATATACCAAAGCATAAGCACAGTACAATCAACAGTCAGTGTTCAACTTAAAACAACTGAGAATTACAGCTGCAGTTTAGATGTACTAACCACAACTAAAAGAACACTTTCTCAGAACAGCACATTTCTTGATTATGTGATAACCCTGAATCTTTTCCCCTAGCAGATAAAACGTGGAACAAAACATTTTCTATAGAAGGTAGCATTAAGAATACGTGAGTGCTGAGGGAAAGATTTATACACTCTAGAAGGGCCACATTCATATATATAAGGGATGTCTGGGTGAGGAATCTCAAAGTAAGGTGAAAGCATAGACAACTACAAGTATATTTTGTATGCAATTGAAGTATATGAAGACATAAAAAGTGATTCTGAACTAAAAATCTGTTTCTTCATTAAGAATCACGGCTATGCAGAATGGCCATTTCCTCTTGAATGAAGAAAGCGATCAAGTTAGAGCAATAACTAAAATGTTGCTTCAGCTTACCCAAAGGGATCACCAACTACAAGAAAAGCGACATCACAAACATCAGCTTCTTTCAAAATGCTATCTGCTTCTTGTTCCACTGTTTCTCGATCAGCCAAAATCAGTTCTTTTCCATAAAACTCCTCCTGGATATCAAAATTAACAAGAAACAGCAATAAGACACTTGGGAGTATATTTGTATCTCCTGGTATAATTATTCATGGATACAGGAAAGGAGAACGGGACAATGATCCCTAGCTGTTTTACCCACATCTTAAGAGAACCGTGCTTCCCCATGCTAGAACACTCAAGGTTCCCATTATGCAGCTCTTAAGCTGACAAAAATTACTGTTAATCATATTACTCCAGTAAGGACTTGGCTGGAAATGCAGCTCGATCACACCCCCATTCAGAGCTAGTAGGTGGGCTATAGGCCTAGTTAATTACACCACTCATCCTATTGCAGGGCACCCTTTCTTACAGCTCAGAGTCAGCTGCTCAGGCTACTTATAATGGTGACATCAAATCAGATACAAATATGACGCTAGCTATACCATAACCTTATCTTTACAACTTTCATGTTTCCTTAGTACTTTGCAACTAACCGCGCTTAAGGAATAAATTCATACCAATCTTTCATCTTCAGTTCTTTGTACAAAATACTTTGCCACATATATGGGTAAATACATATTTGATTGTGTTCACCTTTCTTCAGCAGCTCACTAATCACTGGGCCTCTTCCTATGTTTTAAACACCTTGTTCGCATGTTAGAATCAACTTCAGTTAGTTACAGAAATGTGTTTCCTGACCATCCTGAGCATATGTCTACCTAAGTAGACTTTTCACATTCTCTTTACATGATCAAAGTCTGTTGTTTTTCTGTTTGATCGTTTTTTCCCAGGGCATAGATCAACAAGGGTGTTTTGTTCCGAATAGCACTCAGCAAATTTGGGCAGCATGACAAATACTAATGGCTACATAAAACTTGTAAGTCAGTTATAGTCCAGAAAGATTTTACTCTTGACTTCTCCCGAGTCCTCAGTGCTAGCTTCATCTTTGCCCATAAGCAATTGATGAAAGAACCATAATAGTTGTACAGAACAGAAATAGTGCTTCATTCCAACACCCACCCAACAGGTACAGCAGTGGATATCAGACCTCAGCTTCTGGGTTTCAGTCCCTTTTTAAAATGACGCTCCGAGACTGCTCCACAATGCAAATCAAAGCATACTGATTGCAGATCTAAAATGCCCTCTCTTGACCTAAACTAAAATGTAGACTCATAGGAGGTGTGGCATCAAAACAGAAGGCTGGTTTAGACAAATTCTAATGGCTTCTCATTAAAGTTTTAGGCCACCAAGCCAAACTACACTGGGAATCTAATCTTTTTCTTAAAGTATTTAAACTGTCATTTTTGCTTTGCGATTTTCCAACCAGCCAACAGCAACAAAAAACATTTCCTCAGGATGGATTCACTTCAGTTCAGCCCACTTCAGTGTGCCGAATGGAGCAGCCAACGTGAGCGCCCGGCCGCATGGCAGCACACACAGGGGCACCATAGACAGCCCTGCTCTCGTTTTTATCACCGGTTGTCCAGCAGGGCGCTACCCAGGCCTGCCTGCAGCCCACCCGGACACAAGGGAGGCCAGCAGGCAGCACAGCGCCTCGGCCTGACAGAGGCTCAAGGCCCCAGACGTGTTTTCTGGTGTGTTCTTTTATTTTTAATTCGGAGCAGACATTTTTCTCGCCAAGCTCTCCAACACCTCAAGCTGTGCACGTGTGGCTCGTACTCTGAGATGAAAACTCGGGTCGAAACGCCAACGCGACCCGTAGGAGGGCGGATTTTATCTTCTCCCAACTCCTATAAGCACAGCGAGCGAACACTGCGTGCGTGCCGTTTCTGAGGACGCGCCGTTACTTTTCCCGCTCCCGACGCCGTGCAGGCAATGCGGCGCGCAGACGGGCCGGCAGCACCGACCTACCAGCGCCTCCTTCCCCACGGTGAGCATAGACGTGTAGGCCTCCAGGTATACCCTGCAGCAGCGCCGCACCGCCTCTAAACCCTTCACCGTGATGTCCTTCGCGTCGCCCAGGCCCAGCCCGACTAGATAAAGCATGCTGGCCTGGGAGGGGGGGAGGGTGGTTGAGCTGCCGGGCCTGGTTTTGCTGCCTCCCGCCGTCACGGAAGAGGAACGAGCGCCGGCACCACAGCCGCCCCGCCCCTCCCGCCGCCGCCGGTGGCAGTAGTCCCGCCCCTCCGCGCGTGGCTTCGCTCGGCCCGCAGAGGCCGCCGGGAGCTGCGTTGCGCGGCATGGCTCTTGGTGGGCCGGGCGGCTGCCCCGCGGTGCTGCTCCGTAGTGGCCGCAGCATCCCGGTGCTGGGGCTCGGTAAGTGCCTGCCGGTACAGCCCGCCTGCCGCTGTAACGTGGCAGGAGGCGGCCGCGGGGCCCCGGTTCCCCCGGCACTCTGCGGCGGTGCCCGTGCGCTGCCGGTTCCCGGCGGCCCCTACTTCCCGGCAGTTCTGCCTGCGGGCCCTGAGGCGCCGGGAGCAGCCCCGGCTGAACGCGTCCTCCTCGGTGGCTGCTCTCGCCTTGGGCTGCGGCGGTGCTGAGCGGCCGGAGAGCCCTCGGGCCTCATTAAGAGCTCGTGAACGTGTGGAAAAAGAGATTTCCGTGGGGTCGCATCTGTTCTGGCAATGCCAGTTGTGGTTTAGGAGGCCATTGTGTTAAGTGAGCAAAGGGCCGCAGGTTTACATTGCTTTTATTTATTGTAAGCGTGAAGAGTTATTTTCTCTCTTGAAGCCTTTACGCAGCATTTGGGGATTTTATTCTGCCTCTTTGAAATCTTTCCAAAATCCTCTTCCATCCACAGCACACACTGCAGCATGAGGACCCTTACCTGTCAATGTGATGTGCTCTTATCGCAGGTTGGTTTGGTATCCCAGGATTTTAGATATTTCAGATAAACACACCCATCAGGGGCACTTACATGCTTTGTTGGAGTTGTTAATCGCTCACACAAGTATCAAATAAAATGGCCTCTGTGCCCCTTTCAGCTTTATCTTACTTCAGAACAGTGATTTAGGATTCTCATAAGTGTAAAGGAGGGCAAAGTTAGAGCTGAGGCTTTAGGAGCATGTTAAGCCTCTTAAGTCAACGGAGTTGTTTTTTTAATCCATAAACACAGAATGGATAGCTAGAGCTGATAGTGCTCATTTCCGAGTACCAAAATCACTTGAGCAGAATTAAAAAGTCTTAGCAGCTCAGTTCATCAGCAAAGGGGTCCAAAAATCCACAGCATGTTGATAACTGCTTGTACCGTGTGCATGTGTGCTCGTAAGGATATGGTATTATATATCCAAGGCATGAACTCCTCAGTTTAGCATCTATGAACTCTTTAGTTTAGCGTCTATTATCATTACTTGATGTAGCTGCCCCTCTTATAGTCCTTATACAATGAGCAAAAGGTTCTGTATTGTAAGGAGTGACTCTTTTTTTCTTTCACTGAATTCCTTTGTTGAACCTCTTTTTATCAATTTAGTTGACTTAGAGATTTTTTTACAAATGCAGGAAACATTTAAATGATCCTTCTTAGAGAATGGATTCCATCTTATGGCCATTGTTTCAGTGTTTGCTGACCTGTATTTCAGAATTGTGTACAGAAACCTCACTTTTCCATTGGAGATTGTAATGCATGAAGATTGTAATCCCAGGTGACTGGGAAAAGCAGGCTGAAAAAGTCTCCAATTGGCATGCTGCTTGCTGTCCTTCAGTCATTTCAGTTTGTAGTAGTTTGACTGTCAGGCCTGAACTCAAACTTCAGTAAGTGGATAATGCCGTGGCAGACAATTACATTTGAGATTTTCTGGCTCAGTGCTTTCTGCAGGGTGTAGCTTTCCAGAGGTTTGGTTCTTTGATCTCAATTCTCCTTTCTTGTCCTGACAGAGTAACACTCTGACAAATTTCTTATGTATTTTGTAGCTTTTTAAGCGTCTTGTAATATGTAGGAACCAGTAAAGTAATTTGAAGATTTTCCTGACAAATGCTGAAAAACATTGCAGATTTAAAGGTAAAAAAATTAAGAGGTGTTTATGGCCAACACTAAATACCAAGATATGCAGCCCAACACAATGGGATCTTTATCTGTGGATCTATGCTAGGTATTCCCACTTTATACTCTTCTACAAATTACTGGCTTATTTTTTATTACAACTTCACTGCAATTAACTAATATTTGCAGCTCAGAAAAATTTACATGGTTCAGCTTGGTTCCTGTGACGTTTACTGAGCAAAAATGTGGAGAAAAACTTTCCTGTATGAGGAGGCATTTTCTGTGTGGCGTTTTCTGCAGGATTTAAGATTTGATTGTCTTATCCTTCTAAGCATGCAGACATAATTGTTATCTGTGAGTACGTCGACTTTGAGATGGTAAACATGCATGCTGCCTCTGTTGCTAGATAATCTTTCTAAAAGCTCCAAAGAAAGAGAGAGAGTTGTGCTGTGTTAAGATAGTCACAGCTATCCATGCAGTCAGGCCAGCTGTGAGGCTGATTAGAAAGATATGCAAGTTATTTCCAAGTGATGAAACCTCTTTTATAGCAGTGAGAGTCAGCGTATGAGACATCTCATGTGCTTTCAGGCAGAGCATGTTAGCTCAGAGAGTGCCACAGCGGTCTAGAATAGCATTCTGTCACAAATATCTGCTTTTTCTGTTCAAGCTTCAGATATCAAAAGGTAATTTATTTCCTTTTTTTTTTGTTAACTGAGCTTTCTGTTTGTCAAATTGATTTCCATTTCACTGTTCTCTGGGTCTTCCAAACATGTAGGAGAAGAGCAGTGAGTTTATCAAGGCTTTATGCAATAGGGGACACAGGAAAGCTGGAGGTTAAGCGGTCTTGTGTTAGTTCATAACCTCTAGTGAGAGCAATGGATTTGAGCACTGCACATTATACAGCCTGCACAGCTGATGGTCAGTCTGAAGGCCCTTAGAACAGTATGCCCAAACCTGTACTTTCAGTAAATTCTATCTGTGTTTACTTACTTGCTTATTCCCATTCTTTGTTGTCTTTCTTCTGACTCAGTACAGCTCCATGGCTGCTGGCAGTGGTGAAACAAGCAGTCTTTCCTGAGACGCCTGCTGATTGTTCTAAGGCAACCCAGCTTTCTGTTAAAGTATGCACAACAGCTAAGTTTTTATTTAGCAAAGCAAAATGATTTAGAACTTTTTGTTGTTTATGATGTAAACAAAAAGAAGAGACAGTAATCATGGGATTAAGTAAGCAGAGATTTGGTCAAATAGCATGTGATTTCCTGCCAAGATGTGTTAATAGTACCAAAAATATACATAGAATGTTTTCTTGTCAAGTTGTTTTCCATGTAAATCCTTGAAGAAGGTAGAATTAATTACAACTTGATGAGATGAAAAAAAGATAATCTCGTGATCTCCTATCAAGGTATAAAATGAATTACAGTTTTGTATGGGAAGAGGCTTCAGGGAAAAAAACCCTCAATAATGAGAACCATGTTTTTGTACGTGTTGTGCCTTACTCATGCCACACAGCCTGTGTTTTATTACTCGCAGCAGTGTTTGTTACAGAATTCAGTAATGGGTGCTGCCATTGTGCGAGGCGCTGTGACTGGGAAAGCAGGCAGGTGCGGCTCTGAGCAGCTTACAGTCAAATAGCCAAAGCCTGATAGAGTGAAAAAGAGTCCTAATGAATAATGTGGCGTGAGTTAATTTATAGCACTACTAACTTGCTTTAATTGCTTTTTTTACTGCATTTATCCCTCTGTTGTACCAACTCAGGAGAATAATATGCACAGACGCACACACATGTGGTCCCTTCATAGTCAAGGGGAAGCATCTCTCCTGTCCTAAATTCAAGATGTTCCATATATGAAATTCCTGATGTTCATCTGTAGCTTTATCTACAATGAATTGTAACCGAGTTTTTGCTTCCTTTGCTGATTGCAGTGTTTAAGTCTTTGCATTATTTGCATCGCAACCATACAAAACTTATTTAATTAGTATTATTCTCAGTTTTTTTCCAGGAGAGGTGATTGTTTTTGCTGTGTTGGTGGTGTTTGCTTGTTTTCCTGGAGAAAAATCCCATTACTCCACTTTCATTACCTCAAGTTTCTTTGTTGTCTTTTTTTCCTCAAAATGCTACATGTAACCTGAATTGTAATGCTGAGTAGAAGCATTTTAACATTTCCTTCCATTATACACTGCTAATGCAGTTATTTGCTTCTTGATTATTAACCATAAAGTTGCTCATAGTCACTGTTAATCTTAACTGTAGACAAAAAAAAGACCCAGTTGGGACTGGAATCAAATGAGATTGTGCTTTTGCTTTTCAGTTTAATGGCAGCAGAATCAAGCCTTCTCTTCTGGTTCTCCGCTCTTACTGCTTTTCTTTTTTTGTGGCTCTTTTTTCCTCAGCTTCGGAAAATTTATGGAACAGTGGTCCTGGTACCAAGACCTATGGCACTCCTCTGTATTAATCTTACTCCGTAATAAGAATTGGCTGTTTATTTCTTCCCTTTGTTTTGTGCTTCAACCTTTTTTTTTCCTCTTCTTTTCTAATTCTGTCAGGAATTAACTTCTCAGCCATGGTTACCGAGTTTCCTTAATAGCCTCTTGTGATGAACAAAATGCCACATCTATAAATCTTTCTGTCTCAATTCATGTATGGTTTCAGAAAGTCTGACTCTGAGAAGCTGTACTTGAGCTTTGAGGGCCTCCATATATTTAACTTCTCTCATTTGTACAAAATGTGGCTGTATTCCATGTGTGGATATTTCCATGGGTGGATGTTTGTAGACAGTACGGAGAAAAATGTGGCCTCTTCTAACTTGGTGAAACCTACTGTCTGTCACTTTGTGACAAATGTTGGTCTTACAGATGTGCACGTGATGCCAAAGAAAGGGATGGCCTAAATGTTAATTAAGTGCATTGTAGTGCCAATAATTACTGTAATGAAGGCCCACATTTCAACAATGAACTATACAGATTCTTGAGAGTCAATGGAGCCACAATCCCAAGGCTGGTTTTCTGTGGGAAGATGTTGTAAATAAAATGTAGGAGGCCCTAATGGTTGTACTTTTAAATCTTACATTTTTAATTGCTCATTAGATGAGCAAATTATTTGCAGCCTGGATGAAATGAAGAGAGAAATGAGCTCCAGCAATGTTAAATTTTTACCTTTCACCGTGTTCCTGTAACGTAGAAGAATGATACAAAACCTTATTGGAAAAAAAAAAAAAAAAAGCCCAATTTTTGTCTTTCAGCCTTCATATAGCAGAGTTTATCTACCACAGATATTTTCTTTGCTGGAGCTCCTTAGCATCCACAGTCCTGGCAGCACTGAGTGGTGAAGTTGCATGCT